TAATGTATAAATATTATTTAGCTAGTGCACAACCTGCAAAAGAGGTCCGGACATGCCTGTGATTCACCTAACACCTATTTCCCCACATGACAGTTCGTTAAAGTTAATGTTGCAATTTGCATTATAACTAGGTTTCTTCGGCAAATAACCTAGTTATAATCTATGCACTATCAACAATGGTTATATGATTTTGGTTAATGCCTTTTGATTTATGAAACGACATGCTTATGGTTACCTACTATTATAATAATATTAATTGATAAGAGACGTTTAAATTTACAACGAAGGCTTAGGCCTTAGCATTTATTTATTCTTCATACTGTAGGTACCGATAAACTGTTTTTAAAGCATAGTTGGAAGTCTAAAGTTTACCTAATGTGGATTTACAAATTAGTACCGGCTAGATATCTATAGGTAATCATTACTTTATCAATAACCAAACAACATAACCGTTCTTTTTGTATTGTTATATTTCAGTAACCTATAACCAAAAGTTATTACCAAAGTACTAACCAAAATCGCCAAAACAACTTGTTTATAAAACACAGTTACTCAGATACATTTGGTCATTCACCTAAACACGCCTGAGTACTTAAACAGATGTCACACCGGCGTTTATCAGTGATAAAAACATATCTACGCAGGTTTGAAAAGGTCTTCTTAGGTGCTGTTAAGCGCTGGGTGCGATGTTGGAAACTATTTTTTGATGTTGAAAAATGATTTGTTCGATGGGTATTGTAGAATGTGATAACCAATAGGCAATTCGCCATTAAAAGTAACACATATAAATATTCCATATCTGCGACATGGGCCTGTAAACGCATACCACGTAGATTTAATTTAAATCATTTAATAACCTTTTTTTAATTATAGTAAATAAATATATAAATAAAAATGTACACATAAAATTAAAAAATAAATACGTCACATGGAGTATTATTAAGGAGTATTAAGTATATTATATGACCGGTTTCGAATTAAAAATTCATCATCAGGTATATCACAGTCAAAATGTTTACAAACGCGACTGAATAAATAAAAAATTAAATTAAGGAATACATAGAAACAAATTATACAAATTGTTTGTTTTACATAGAAATAATTTATTTTAATAGGAGAGATTATTTAAAATGGGTTATTATTAGACATAGATATGTTAAGAAATATAAATTATTTGATAATTGGTAATTATTTATTATCGAAAACTCATTGATACAAGATATTATTTCTCAAATCGGTTCGTACATTTTGTAAAATTATTTTTCTTTATTTCATTATTATGTAATTTTTCTAAAACTGAGTTAATTAATGTAAATTTTATTTTGGGTACTTAATATCCCTAAATCTGCATTAATATTTAACCTTATATTACAGTTATTTTCTATAAGATGTTTAAATTTGGATTTGTGGCAGTCATTTTTAATTATATTTCAGATATGTATTCTGTACATCTTATTTTAAAATTTCTGTTTGTCTTACCTGTATAAAATTGATTACAGTTCCATTTAAGTCTATTTATACCAGCATTTTCAAAAGAAGGGGGATTTTTGTGAAGTTTTTAGTTATATTGTTTATATGTTTGATTAAATAATTATTAGTCTTAAAAGTGATTTTTACATTATTTGTATTATTGTTCAGAATTTTAGAAAAATTTATTAGGTATATTATTTTGATATTTCGTACTACAATAGTTAAAAAGATTATTTGATTAGTGTATTATTTTTTCTTTAATACGTTAATGTATTTTTTTAAGAGTATTTAAATTGCAATTATTTCTATGGGCTATATTATAGATAATATTGAGCTCGTGTTGATAATTATAATTATTTAATAGAATATATTCAAGCCTAAAGAATATTGAATTAAAAAATGATATTTTTTTTAGAATAAGGATCATTAGATTCATGTGGTATTATAGCGTCAGTTTGTGTAGGTTTCCTGTAAATACTAAAATCAAATTTATTGTTTATTATGGAAAATGTAAGATTAAAGAAATTAAATTTATTATTTATTTGTATTTTGAGTATAAATTGAATGTTTTTATTTATTCTGTTAGTAGATAATTAAATTGTCTGCTTGTTTATTTGAACCTCTAAATAAAATCAAGAGAAATCATTTTGTAACCTGGCATAATATTAATTATATCAATAAAATCATAAGTGTTTTTTTTAGAAGTATCAGTATACATGTTTAATTTTTCTTTTATGAGAGTCTGAATATTTAGCATGGAGCAGTTTTAAAGTTAATTAAATGGACGAAGATTACTTTGTTTATGTAATTTTATAAATGGATGTAAGTGTGGAGCCTCTATTTTTTAATCAGATTTTAATATTTTCTTTTGGATTATAGGTATGATTTCTTTCGAATTTATTATCAGTTTATTAATTTGTTTAGTGTAAATTATAGTTGGGTCATATGTTACGTTTTGAATATTATTATTTATAAAACCTAAAGTTTTTTTTTTGAATTTCATTAGTGTATATAATAACAATAACATTAGATTTAATCTACCAAAATATTTCTGAATTATTTGTTTTTAATTTATTCACTATGTTGTTATTAATTGTATTTTGTCGTTTAACTATACTATTTTGTTTTAATATTTGATCAAGCTTATTTTCATAGTTTTTATTGGTGCTGTTTATATCTTATGATATAAATCTTGTTTAATTTTGATTTTTAAATTGTATTTAATTTATAACAGATTTACATTGTATTTTTTTTAATTGATGGCAAGTTTAATGTTTGATATGTACCTATTGAATTTATTACCTTTATTTAATAATTTGTTTTCAGCTTTATTGAAAATTATGGAAGTTAAATTAGTAACAGGTGGTTAAAAATAATACTAGCTTTAAGTTCCAATGTTTGTGTATTTTCTGCTACTAAAATATTAATTCTATTATTAAACCTATGCCATTTCTCATTTTTCTTATGAAGTAATTATTGTTTGATGTGATTTTTAAAGTGTGAAATTTGTTAATGGTTTAAATTTTGAGATAAAATTGTTTCTAAATCATTACCATTTTCCTACTATTACGTATTTTTTGCTGAATAAAAATTGTATTTCAGAGTTCAACCATATTGTCACAATCATTTATTAGCTTTAAATGCAATTTTAGATTTACATTTGATAATATGTATATTGATGCAAATAGTATGATTTAGGGCTTTTACACTCTGTGTCTGTGCTATACCTACCTAATACATGGCCACCCAAATTGTCCACCACGTGATCAACATACCCCCAACCACCGTTATTAAGGTTTAATAATACGGTTATACCTATTGTTATCAAGATTTGATTTTGGCAGACATTGACTTGCGGCAATATCAAATACGAGGAGATAGGAGAGATTTTAAATTTGTTTAAGTTTGAACACATATACGTCAAGAGAGAACAGAAATGAGAATTGAATGAGACACTCTACCCTGTTGTATATTTCATATGGACTTAAATTCTATTCATATTACATTTTATAATTTTTTTTGTATTACAAAAATGGTTTGTACAAATATTTGAAAATAAAAGATAAATATTTTTTTATTTTTAAAATAAATTTTTATTTATTTCCTATATTGTACCTATATTTCTTTTCATCACGCAAAAACTTACAGATATGATGACAAGAGGACTGTATTGGACGATAGAATACATACAAGGGCATTCGGGCATTATAAAATAAGAGGGGATTTAAAATATTATGTCGTTTATTAATTTTTTGTCTTTATGATCTACCAGATATCAAGCAGGTGTACTCAGTTTTTGTAAAATATACTATAACTTATTGTAAAATATATTATCTGTATTTTGTCGACATTTCAAAATATAAATAAAATATCAAAAAATAAAAACAAACATTGCATTATATCGTTGAGTATTTAAGTTATATCCAACCCTCGTCACCACGATTATTAATACCAGAGGTATGTTTTCTTTTGGTTTCTACATTAGCATCATTATAATCTATCCCTAATTTATTTAGGAATAGATTATAATATTTTCTATTTTTATTTGCATGAATTTTATCATACTTATGTAATATTTTATTTACATCTACCTCCATACATTCTAATAATAAAATTGTATAAATTAAATTATTTCAATAATTTAGACATACATATGGTTTGCCTATACTAGTACTGTACTAGTTATTCTGTAAAATTTTTATTTTTATTTCCAATATGTATGCCCTTTATCATTTTTTAAATTATATGTTCTTTTATAAAATGATCTTAAACTTATTTCTATATCAAAACTCAAATATTTAGCAATATAATGCAACCAATATCTTAATTTATTGAATCTTAGGAAAAAAATTACATACTCCCATTCCGAATTGTTTATTAGGTGGTAGTTATAAAATATTTCTTGTTTTTTACAATCCAAACATAAATTTTCTATATAACACTCTTCATATGAGCACTGCAATACCTCGTACATTAGGTTATTTAATGCCTGATCAACAACCTCCTTTTTTATTTTTAAAATATAGCAATAGTACCATATTAAAATACTTATATTCTGCAGATCTAATATTCATGATTTAATAACATAAAAAAAAATAAAATAGAGAACTACTTGGACTTGTTTGAAAGACAAATTTACTAAAACAGATCAACAAAAAGAATTTGAGAAATCCCATTTGACACATACCTATTTTTTAAAAGGAACGTAACCATTACAATAAAATTATAAATTAAGGATGATAGGTAAGCAGTAAAGGAGATGTCACGATAATGAAAAGATAATATAGCAATAAGGTTGGCCCCTATGATGTATGATGATCTTGAGTTAGTAGTGAAATGTCCAAATGGAAATATTCTCCCTATACACATTCAAATCACTATCGTTGAACAAACAACTCTTATGATCATCAAAAGTTATGTGGTTTTTCTTCGCTGTTGATCCGGTAGGCATATGACTTTGCCCCTCCAACATCACCATCAGCTCCTTGACTTTAGAGTCATGTGGTACTCCATTATTTGGTAAGAATGGCTAATTGTTGTGCTCATTGTGCAGATTACCCAGGTATGTGATGTCAAAATCATACACTCGTCCTATTGGTAAAGTATCGTTCAAATCCTTGAGTACATCTAATGTTGGCTGGACCTACTCAAAACCATCGTATGTCATGTACTGAGATATAGCCCAGCCATTCAAGTTAATACCAAAGAAACTACCTAAGAAATTTATTAGTATTTAATTTGAAAAAAAAAAATAGGTAAGTATACTTACAGTCCTGGTATATAATCCATGAATCGTCTTTTGTTTAATCATAGTCGGTACAGTATGATTATTAGCCTTGCATACCGTATACCCGCCTGAACCAAACCACCACGTATGCCTATAAAATAAAATTAATACAATAGGTATTTAAAATAATTTAAAAAATTGAGTACCTTATTCTAATATTAACATAGACGGAAATCAGCTCAAGTTCTATTGTGGTGTATTTTAACATACAATTGAAACTGAATCTCTGCGTCGTATAGCGTATAGTAAGCCGGATCTAGGTTATGCGTTGTCATACACATATCACAGAAGTTCTCGAACACGTCGGTCAGCATCATCATATCAATCTTTAGGTAAAGGTAACCACTGTATTCACCTATTATCCGAGAGTTGAAATGTGTCCATACATTTTTCGCGTGCTCGCATTCTGTCTCCTCGACATTTTTCTCAGTCAGCGTGCTATAAAATTCTTCCTTTCCCGGTAATGACTCTTCCTCTAGTTTCTCACAACTGTCTGTGTACTAGTACGGAATACAGATACGCACTCTTCCGCATAACAGGCGGTATATCGTCGATGTTGAATACTTATTTCGATTCACGAAACTTTTCGTATTCCGAAGTATTTGAGTACGAAACGCAAGACGATAGACTCGATGCGTACCTTATCTAAATTGGACCGTAAACGTGTTATTGGAGTATTTCGAAAATGAAGTATTTCTTCGCTGTTCGGAATAACCGTAATAGATTCCATGTTGTAACCCAGCTGGGTTACTATGAAATGCGAATCGTAGCTGAAAAGATTATGAATCGAAAGTCCATCGATATACTGTATCCCGTCCTTGATAAATTATCCTGTTCGGAGAGTAATTTTTTGAATTTTTCTTCTACTCGATATCTTCTATCCCACTATCGAAAAATATTTACGTACGTTCCGCTGGCAATATTTGATAAGAGAGCCCAGTGATTCCTAAAATGCACAAAGCTGCAATTAGGGCGTAAGAAAGGCAATAAATACACAAGAATGCACGAGAGGAAATCTAAAAATCAAACCATATTTAGTGACGCGCCGAAGCGTAATCCGTCCTAAATGGCCATCTTTGAAAAAGTAATTTTATTTAGTTACTTCTCTTTAAAAAGTATTGCGCCAAAGTTCACATGTTAAATTTAATTTTATCAAAATACATATATTTAACCCAACTTTGTTTGGAATATATAGATAGATATTATGTTAAATTAGAGTACGTAATTTATATCACTATGCGGTGAAAAAGTATTGTTGGATAAATTTGATTTTCAAGAAATATTATATTATGTTTAGCAAAGTTCACAGGAATATTAAAATTGTTAAATTAAGTAAAAAAAAAAAAAAATAATAAAAAATACGTACCTTTATAGGTATAATATAATATACTGTTAACAACGATTAATTATTGCAATTGAAGAATGATTCTGAGCAGAGCTCGGTAAAACATTTTCTGATGGACGTAAACAACTATAAAAAATTGTATTTATTTATTTTTGAATTGCCTACAAAACATTTACGTATCTTTAATGAATTTAATCAGACATTTGAACTTTAAACGACTATAATAACAATTTCGGCATTTTAGTAATTTTTCGATTTTCACAGGAATTTTCCCAACAAATTAGAAAAACTGGGAAAACCGTAGGAGAAACAGGAAAATAAGTACAATAAGTATTTATTAAATAATATAAAATAACATTTACGTTCTATACATTTTTTTTTGGAACATTTAGCAAATTTGTTAAATAAAAAAATATACATAACAAAATATGATATGAACAGGTACAATGTTAAACAAATATTTTTAAAGAAACTATATATAATGTTGATAAAGCAACACTATAACCTGAACTCCACTCAGAATCATATTTTTGGATATCTGCATTTAAAGTCAAATAATATCTATACGATTTTAGCAAAGAAACTCGAAAAAAAAAACACATACATGGCGAGGTGAGTGGCCAAAGTTGAGAGTAAAAGATCTGACATATCCTATTCAACATGATTTGTTTAACTGTGGAATGTATTGTTTATATTATGCTGAATACTTGATGAAAAACTCAAAAAATGTTATTTTTGATAATAACTTTGACTCCATGGTGTATAGAATAAAACTAAAAACTATGTTTTTGAAACACTCTTGAGTTTATGAGAGATAATTGTTTGTACTGTGGGAATTCCGATGCACAACATAAACAAATCAAACAAAATAATTTCAATTGGGTACAATGTGATACTTGTACTTGATGGATAATAATGAATTGTGTGTAAAAAATTAAAAACAAATTTGACTACAGTAGTAATTTTAAATGTTTGTTGAGCAAAGCTTAGAAGAAGTAATGTTGAATTTTATTTTAATTGCACTAATTTAATACCTATATTTTGTCATAGTATTTTTCAAATAATTACATTAATTAATTAATATGCATTGTAAACTATGTCTGACATAAATAATTTTATGATAGCATGGTTGTTTATATGAAAGGTATCTATATAAAAATCGCTAAACAAGTGGACTATATCTTCAGGGGATACCACTTGGGAAATAAAAAATTAGCTATTTTGCAGTACGTTAGTTTTATAATAATCAAAACTAAGGTGGTGGGGAAATTGCATAGTTCTTCAATTTTATAATTTCAATTGCCTAGTATAAAATGTTATAATTTGTTAAATTTTAAATGACACAATTAGATATTAACAACATAGATTTTTAATTGGGTAGTGAAAAATGAGTTATATCTGATGAAATTTAGCCACGAATCGGCAGAAGTTCTGGCAGCAGTTCGACATGTATATGATTTCTTCAGGACACATTGAAAAATCGGATGACACGAAAATCGTCTTTTTATTCAACATTGCTGGTATTAAATTTATTGAAATATTTAATATGTTCACGTTCGACCTATAGCAACATGGAAGAACTTTTTGTGGAATTGGTAACAAAAAAACAATTGTAACAATGAAAAAGAAAGCATTGGCTACATAACTGCTGGTAAGCTAATATTTTGTTATAATATAGAAGAGTTGATAATCGAGTTGTGCTGTATAAAATCGGCACGTGTACTTTCCTCCAGCATTTTCATTTATGTATCTACTTTTATTAACTTTTCAGACACTGTATTACTTTTGATGATGTACTATGTGACTGTTCATATTATGTTACATTTAATCAGTTTATATTGAAATAGTAATGATTTAATGTAGTACCTACAGGCTACAGTGGTTTGCAAAATATAATTTATATTTCATATTTATTAATTCATTTTTTTTTTTCAGTTATGTTTGATGCACAGTGTCAATTTTGTAATTACTTAAACACTCATCGACATCTTTAATGAACAAGGTATGTTTCCTAAAGTTTGCTTATTGTACATATCACTTGATATTATATTCTTTTAAGGTTTTTTCTCGTATTATATTTTCACTATTATCACATTCATTTATAAAAATGCTTTGAATTATTTATTATATATTTAAATAATAATATATTATACACATATTCAGCAATACTAGTATTGTATGTTTGAGATATTTACTCTGTAATTGTACCGTGTGTCCCACCATGTTCGTAGAATTAGACCTATAAAAATTAAATTTGTTTCAATTTTTTTTTTCAATCAGTTTTTCTTGGAGGGGGATATCGATTTTGAAAAAAAATAAATTTGTATTTCCATTCCCTAGGACCTAAATATATATGAAACAAATAGCTTTTTATTTATTCAATTTACACAATTTTGCAAAAAGTCATTTTCTAAAAGTTATTATTCTAAACATTTTAATGTATCACACATTCATATCCAATGAATAGTTTCTAAGTAGAAGTTGTTTTAATTTCTAGAAAAAGTGTGAAAACAATTAATATTCAATAATAATCATAATTCCTTATCACAACAGTTGTTTATCCTTTTATACTATAATAACTACTTTAAAGAATAAAAAAAATAAAAAAATAGCTTTAATTAATGGTTATAACTTAAAATTTAAAACAAATTACACATTTCCATTAAAAATAATCAACTTATGAGACATAATATAAATATACTTTACATTTTTTTTTTACTAAGTACTACATTTCTTTAGTTAAATCCATAAAACGAAACTACATTATTTGGCTGTTTTTCAACACTCCAGGAGTACGAGAAGGGGGCATGATTAGTCATGATCAAGTTTAATCAAAATTACTCTTTTATAAAAATGAAAAAAATGTAGGGGTCCTACATTTCAAGTAGGTATCAATAGTTTTTTTCTTCTATAAATAAGGTCCATTCTAATGTATAATTTGAAAATAACTTGAATTGTTTATCTATAATAAGTTTCTTTGAATTTGCATAGTTCAGTATCAGCATGGTGATGAAGAATGAACAAAAGTCTAGTTAAGATTGGGATCATATAGTTTCAATTATCAAGTCATCACATAAATGATTGAAGAAAAATTATAAATCAAATTAGTTATCGTAAAATAAAAAATACTTTTAGATTAATAAACAAAACCATTGTGTGTTAATTGATTTATAATGTACTCGCTGTGTATTATAATAATTAATTTTTTTCATTTGTACATTTACCATTCAGTATTTATTTAATTCATATTTTTATTTTAATCACAGTAACCACTTTTTTTTTTATTATGTTTTGTTTTTATATAATTTTCATTTTTGTTATTATCTGTTATGTATAATAATTACATTATTTACACTTTTAAAATGTGTATTAAGAAAAAATAATTGTGAAATTCACTGTATTTTGTACATTTTTAACTTATCTGTAATGTAACATGGATTATAAAATCATTGATTATTAATATTAAATTATAATTTGTACATAATACAATAATAGTTGTTTCCATTATTTTTAAAGTTATGTCTAGATTTCTAGATTTGTATGCAAGTATTTAGTAATACAAAGAGTGTTTTATATTAAGGTTAGTTATGAGTAGAGACTGGATATATGTTTTTAAAATCCACAAAAAAGCACTTGAAAATGTCAAAAAGCCTTGAAAAATATCACTTAACAAATACATAAAAACATTTAATAGTCCCCTCTCTAACGGATTTAATTTCTAAATATAATTCTCTAACACTACAAAAACGATTAATGTAATTTGTTTTTTTATAACACGTACAATTTTATTTAAAAGAAATAATTTTTGTAATGTTAGGAAATTCAATTTAATAACTGAAAGAGCCATTGGAGGAGGACTTTAGAACCCCTCAATCATTTATATTTTTATGTTTTTAAGGGTTTTTAAGCACCACAAAATTTAAAGATTTATTACTCTGAACAGAATGGTAAGGAAATTAATATCAGTCAATTAGTACAGCTTTTGTTTCTTTTATAAATAAGCAGTTAAAATGTTGGCAATGCCAAGAATTAGGGCATGGGAAATGGAAGTGTCTAAATAAACCAAAAAAAAGATATATATGGATATGGTATGGAAAAAGAAACAAGCTCATCAGACAACTGAGAACGAATCAGATGAAAATCGAAGTCTTACTTTTCTATCAAATCAAAATTAAGAACATAGTTCCAATATTCCTTACTCAAATCCTGACTTTGGGAGCTTCTGACCACTTAATCAACAATAACCAGCAATTTAACTCCATAGAAGAATTGAAAAATCCTATTTCAATTAGTGTTGCCAACACAGGACAAGACTTAAAAGGGGAATTCATTGGAGTCGTCAGCCTATTTCAATTATTAAATAGTACAAATAATATTTTAAATTTAAAAAGTATTACATACATATATAAGTTCCAGAATTAAGAAATAATCTATTATCAATGGGGTGCATTGAGCAGAGTGGCTTACATAATGAAATAATAATTAATTACTGTAATACCAATGACAATTTTCAATTATGGCATAGAAGATTTGGTCACGTTAATGAAAAATGCATGCACAAGTTTCAAAATTTGGTAGATAATCTGAAATTAAGTCAGACTACCACTAATTTTTCCAAACCTTGTAAAACATGTGTCATGGGCAAACAAACTAGAAAAACTTTTACTGGAATACAAATTTGAGCAACAAAACCTCTACAAATTGTGCACACACATATTTGTATAGCCAAAATCACCAAAAACTTGAGACAGAAATAAATATTTTGTTACTTATTTAGATGAATATAGACATTTTATTGTAATTTTTCTTATTAGTTCAAAGACAAAGTTCATAAATGTTATAAAGTTTATGAAGCTATGGTAACTGCTCACAATAATAAAATAGTATGCTTAAGATGTGATAACAGTGGTGAAAATATGTCACAGAAGCAAGAAATATTTTGTCGAGAAGTTGCATCTCATTAAGAAAATAATACTTGGTTTCTGATTTATCTATTTGAAGAAAGAAAGTGGTCAAAGATAGATGGGTTTATAGATTGAAAATCAAAGGTGATAAAAACAATTTAAAGCGAGGTTATTGGCGAAAGGTTACCTACAACAACTATGCTCCGATTATAAGGAAATTTATGCTTCAGTAGTAAACATTATCACTATAAGAACATTATTGTGTCATAAATCAACAAAATGTGTATATGTGTCAAAATAATTTGATGTAAAAATAGCTTTTATCAATAGACATTGGGATGAGGAGGTATATATGGAGCAGCCTCAAGGTTTTGTTGAAAATTAATTTTGTAAATTAAATACAGCCATTTATGGACTTATAAGTTCCAAAATGTTGGAACAGAAGATTTGACACATCCATTACCAGTTAGGGTTTTATACGTAGTGAATTAGATAACTGTACATACAAAGTGATAAATGTTCTTGTACATATTTATTACTTTACGTTGATGAGTGATGATATTTTGAGAAAAGATCATAGTTATCTATAGTTAAAACATTAAATAAATAACTCAAAATGCAAAAAGAAAATTGATAGAGGTGAAGAAAAACATGTTCTTAAGTTAGATCAAAGTAAATATATTGGAGATTTACTTCCAAGACTAGATATGTATGATTGGAAACCCAGTAAAATTCCATTAGAAGTGAAATTAAAAATTGTTATTGATCATAACTCAACCATAACTAATAAACCTTATTAAGAGGTTGTAGAGTGTCTTATGTACCTAATGACACACACACATCCAGACGTTTTGAGGTAAATATCCTAAGTTGCTATCAGTCTGATGCATCTGATGTCTACTTGTCTTTGTTGAAGAGAGTGTATATGTTACCTAAAAAGTACTGAAAATCTATGTTCAGTATACTCGATTAAAAAGTGGTTTTGGAGATAAAAAATCAAATGCGATTTTACTATTTATAAATTAGTTAAGCCCTTTAAAACCACAACAGCGAAAGCTATTTAAAAAGTGTATTGAAGGAATCAATAGATAAAGGTACTAACCAACATTTTTAAAATTGTTCAAGTAGCTGATTTGAAACTTAAAAATTACTATAACATCTTTATTAATAGAAAAAAAAATATAATAATAATGATATATATATATATATATAAACAATACTAATCCACTGCTAATATCAGTTTTATGCCTGATGTATATCATATGCCAATGTAAAACAACATCAATCACACAATGTCTATGAAATAGGATTAAAATGTTAAATTTGATTTACAGTAATGTATTTTAAAAAAGGTTTTGTCATTTTTACATAACACATCACAGTAATAAGGTATTTTCTTATATACTGGTAATACTTCACTATAATTGTACCTCTGAACATTGATTTGAACACGAGCAACAACAATTTCTGTAAGAACTTGATGTAGCTTCAATTAGTTCGTGTTCCTGTACAGACTTATTGGCTCTTGTGTCCAACAGCATGACATTCATAGTCTCTTCTAAAATACGTGTCTCTGGGAAATCTACCTACAACAAAACATTAATAGGTGTATTTTAAGATAAATTTTAAATACAAAATGTAATTACCTTTGTATGTTTTTTATCTGTAGCATACACTATTGAGGTACAACATACTTCAGCCACTTTTTTTACAGCTCCTCCAGGACCATAAAATGTCCAACAGCAAATTTCGTTTGATCCTATTACATCTTTAATGAATAGACCGCGTTCCTTATGTTTTTCGGCTAATTTATCAAAAAGCTCAATATTTTTCAACAAATTATCATCAGAAGCACTATTGAACAATAAATATAAAGATTAGATATAAATTCAAGATACAATTAATTAAATTTAGGTACAAATATATAAAAACATACCTAGTATAGGAATATTTATTGTTGTGTCGATTGATAGCAAACTTAACCACAGGCTGGATAAAAAAATAAATATTTATATATATATATATATCCAAAATAATATATAATTATAGCAATACAATTACAGGATAATGTCCATTATTTCATAATAAATTATTATACTAAGAATTGCACCCCCTACCTAATACTTGTATAAAATATAACTTTTGATGTGTTTTCAGTTTATACTTCATATATTATTTATAATTTAATACAAATTTAATTAAAACATTAGATATAATAATTAATTAATTAATTAAAATAAATAATTATCCTATACATTATTATACACTTTAATCTTAAATTGAAATATGTAAGTATCAAATTCATAAACTATGTACCAAGTTATTTTAAAAGTAGACATCTATAGTGTACTGGAATTATTTTAACTGAAGCAAACATTCTATGGAACAAGAATATATGTATTTTAGAATAAGAACATAGCGATAGGGATTTATTGGTTTTACTATGTGTTTTTTTTTCTGTCTGTAAACAACTTTTTAAAAAGAAATCTTGCTCCTATGTATAGAGTAAAGTACCTTTTCTAAAAGGAAATTTGATCTAATTGGTGAATTAAATGGGTATTTTTTTTTATTTTTCAAAAGATTTTCTAAATAAATAGGAAAACCCCCACAAAAAAATTATAAGTAAAATGATAAATATTTATAGCGTGTTGTTACCAATTTCATTGTTTTCATTTTTGAAAACTTATGTTTTTTACCAGAAATATTGTTCCAATTGAAAAATGACATAAGATCGATTTTGTTCTTTTTAACATATAACCACGTTTTTGGTATTTTTTCAAATTACAGCACAATTTTAGTATTTTAAATTTGTACAGTTTATGTTTTCTACCATAAACATTGCTCTAATAGAAAAATAACTTTATATGTTGCATTTTTAATCTAGTCTGTGAGTAAGAAAGTAGTTTTTTTAATAATTGAGTAAAACCAAAAAATACGTAGTATTGGAAAATGTATGGAAATAATTCTTTTAGCATTTCAAATTTTGTTTTTTTTTTAATCTGATTTAGTTAAAAAGTATTCTGAATACTCTTAAGACAGTAGATTGACTCAGGTTTAGTCGATAAGGTACTTCTTGTTGACTAAATCTTGCGTGCAACAAATCAATAACTGTTGAAGATTAGTCTGTCATAGTATCCATGGTTTTGCAAAAACAATAAATACAAATTCTAAAGATGTATTTAGATCAATGTCCGATAAGTGATTAATATGACAAAATGAAAAATGAGACAGTGTACGTAGAATAATATAGATAAAGGCAGGAAATTTTTGATTAATAGATTATATTGCTACTATAAAGTTCAAATAACGTTAGTTTGAAAAATATTATACATACTTCCATGATAATGATATCATCGTAAAGTAAAAATATTTCCTTTTTTGTACATACTAGAGGAGTGAGTCAATTTAGTTGCACGTAAGTGTATATTCAAGAAAATTATAAAGTGGAATAATATATCTTTGAAGAATCTTTATCGACACTTATATACATTATAATTTTCTCTTTGTAAATAACGTTAGTTCATCATTCTCTTGTAATACTCTCTCAGTACTTCAGTATTATATTTTTATTATCGTAATTATAATAATAGTAGTGTAGTTAATTTACCAAAGTTAATCTTATTCTTAGATATAAACACATATTGAGATAACCTATGTTAATTTGTATTAACATAATATCCTTTAGAATAAAGTAAATAAGCCTTGATTAACCTAAGCCCATTTAATATACCTAATAAATATAAAATATTATGCTTAGTATCATAAATATATTATTTTTTAACTTGTAATTTTTTTCTTATCCTATATTTTTTAAAATCTAATACACGGATAAAAATTCAAATATTTAAAGTAAAATAAAAATAAATACCTTCAATGATATAGAAATCAATTTTGTTGCTTCATTTTGAGAAGTTATCAATGTTACCCAAGTTATATTTGTATTTCTATTTTTTTTCTTTTGTAAGGCCTGTTCACAAGCATCAAATAACTCAAAAACACCATAAAACTTGGCTTCGGCTAGTATTTCAGATATTTCTACAGAAGACTCGGGTAATGGTACGGATCCATCACGGAGAAAATTGAGTATTGTTCCAAAATGTTTGCCACATCGATCGATAAACACCCAACCTATTGGATCATTAGTTAAATTAAAAGATATCTAATATAATACAAATTTTGTTTAACATACTGAACCATCTAACATACCTTCAGATTCAGATGAATTACAATTATTATCAGCTGCTTCTGATAATACTAAATCAAGAAGCTTTGAATCAAGTTTTGATAGAGTAGTAATAGTAGTGTAAAACAATGATCCACCTATGTTCAGTTTGACATAATCGGAGATGTCCGGTTTCAATTTGTTGGTCGTTGTAGAACCCATCTGAGATAACGCAACAGATAGTTAACACAAATTAAACAAATAAATGCACTTTAAAAACACTTTAATAAAATTATTTATTTATTTATACTTAAACAAATGGATTTCGCCGGTTTCGGTAATCTCAATATCTCACTGTGTAGTGACTAGTGTGTATTATATAATAATACAAATATAACTATAACTATTAACATTAACCACGAATAAAGATAGCATCTATATTCGTAACATTAACTATATAATAAGTAATAATGGCAATACGTTAGTTGGCTATGATCATAATATTATTGATATCTTATACCTTGGATAAACTATAGTATGTTATAGGCAAAACATTTGATCAAAATAATATACATTATACTAAATATTTAGTGTAATAGTTTATGTGATCAAAGGACAAAACTATCAATCAACAAAATAATAAGAGATAAAAAGAGCAAGGTCCTTATCATTTTTCGAATGGATAGTCTGATGATATGAAAAATATCAATGGAAGAAACAAAATTTAGGACGCCAATACTGAAGTTAGTAACGATAACATAATAGAATACCACAAACATAACCTTTTACGTTTTAGGTCCTCCATTATTCATATTTTATTAATCCGCCATTGTCGTTTGCGAAACTGTGGTTATTATTTTGTTTCTGTTAGCAAGCTGCATTCCATTTGTTTATTGTGTTGTTTACTTAATATCGGACGTAATTTGAAATAAAAATTATATGCTTTTATTACATTACGGTCAACCATTGAAACCTACGTACTTTTGATTATAATTTATCAAAATAAACGCGAGTTGATACGACTCCATTTTGGTCGTCGATCAATTACCTATTTCGGTAAGTTATTTTGTTATTGATTTTAATGGATACGCATACCTATATTTTGTGTCTTACAAAAACGTACCGTGATAAATTTAAATCTAAGAAACAAATGAACCTTTCTGAACCGTTTTACCGCTGCAGTGTGTGGACTCGGTTAACAATACACGAGTTTTATTAAACCGTTACCGCGGCAGTGTGCGCGCACTTTTTTCGTGTTAAAGTGGAATAATCATCTTTGAAGCCTTTGACCCTTATTGAAACGCTTAATCCACATAAAAATTATATTTTTTTTTAAGGCAATATCTTCATAAACTGTAATTAATATTTCATTAATTTCCTGTGATTTTTTCCATTCGTTGTTTCATTTGTTAATTTCCAACGTTAATAAACGATGAAAAAGTAAAACAGAAACAAACAACATTTTATTTGTGTTAATAGCCATTTACAAAAACCAATTACTGAAGCACTAATAGATAGAGATCCGTAGTTGGTGCGCTAATATTTGTGCTCTAAAAACTTAGTTTGTGTACATATTTATTAGACACTACGTACAATAGATACCTATTACCAAGGTACCTATCATATTTGTATTATTAAAACTAAATTGTTTTGTTTTTATTTTCTATAGGTTGTATACTTAAAGAATCATAATGAATTCAACATTCAGAATGCCATTAATAATCCAACCTCAACCCCCACCAACGCACTCTGAGACCTTACTTTTTAATGACATTTTAGAAGAAAAAATAACTTTACTGCGGAATACATTTACTGAATTTTTACAAGTACAGTCTTACCAAAAATTTAATGCTGAATTTTCCAACTTCTTAAAACGTTCAAAACGTATCATACAAGAAGGTCATCGCAATGGTTCAAATTTCTCACGAATGATTAGTTCAACAGACATAACTCCATTTTTTAGTAGGCCATCAGCAAGTTTGTACAGACCACAAACAGCTTTGTCTGCGATTGGTTCCAGCAGCAGAAGTGCATTTAAGGCTCCAGTACCTACTGAACAGTCTAATAATCTGCCACAAAACCCAGAGGTTAACATTCAACCAACCAACCAACCAACAGTGCATTTATCTCGTGATGATAATAATACGTGTTCTACAAGTTCTTTCCAGCCAAATGTTATATCTTCCACTGTAAATGAAAACGCCCAAGAAGAAAACCAACCTAGTACTTCAGCTGCTTTTACAAATTCTACAAATAATCAGTCGCCTGCTGTTTCTGACAAAAATACAATATCTAAGCGTAATTCATATTCAGATGTAACAGTAATTGAGAATAAACTTGAAGATTCTCAAAAAGATGATGGCAGTAATTCCATAGAATCTCTTCTAGGTAATGCTGGTTTTAAAATTGATATTGGAAAAATAGATGAAAGTAACATATCTAAAAACAAAGATAAGGTAAATGAGAAAAATAAAGAAAAATACTTGTCTAAGTGGTCTGTAAATCTAAAGCGTATCAAATTAGTTCACAAATCAAAAATCTGTTTGGCTATAACAGGTAATGTAATTTATTTTTGTAATTAAAATGTATATTTCATTATAATATACTTATATTTTATTTATTTTTTTTAGGAAGTTTATTAAGTGATGATAGAAATACAATAAAAGAAAGGTTTCATGATGCTGGATATTTAGAAGGTAGAAAGGAAAATAATTTGATCAAAACTACAAATGGAATATACAATTTAATTGGCAATATTATTGGTGGATCTCCAAATGAATTATACCATGTATGTTTGGAAGTTAGAGGTATTCCTAGGACTTGGAGACAAATTGTTAATAAGTTAACTAATAATGAAAGAGATAAAAGAAATGAAACATTAAATTTTACTTTGGAATCTCCTGCTGGCCCAAGTAATGCAAGAAAAAATGATGTGAAATCTAATCTTCATATGAATGAAGAGACCAATGCAAAGCGAAAACGTTCTGAATCAGACTTAACAGAAAATCATAAAAGTAAACAACGAAAATTAACCAAGCAGTTAACACCATTGATGGCATCAACACCTTTCAAGGCAAAAAAAAAGGACACAATGTTTGAAACTCCAAGTCAAATGAAATCTCAGAAAAACAAAGTCAATGAAAACTTACATAGGACACGTAATTCTACTAGAAACACCATAAATGGAACAGGAAAGGGACTTTTGAAAGATCAGGTATAATTAATTGGTTATTTATTATTTCGTAAACATTTTCTCTGCATTAACCTGGGTATTAGCATTTTCACTGCTATACTATTTTTACTTTGCATCCTGTTTTACGCTAAATAAAAAAAAAGTTTGTATTTTTATATTGCTCTGTTAATAAGAAAGCAGCATAAAATCAAATTATGAGGTTAAACAAATTTTATATTAAAATTAACTTAGTATTAAAGATTTAAATAATAATAATCAGAGCTTCACAATAAAACCGCATCTTTGGTACTATCTTTTATATGAAAATAACAAATTAACAATATACCTAAATAAAACAATATTATCAATAATATTCATAGTAACTGTATTGATAAATGATAACCGAACATTATACATTTACACAATTTGTGTTTTTTCTTATCAAATGTTTTAATATATTCTTTATCTCTTGGTAAAATACCACAATGATATTCTAGATATTTTATGTTCTATTTAAAAGTATGACATTTTACGTCTGGAACAGTGGGTAGTGTAATTATTTTAGTCTTGTTATTCTGTAGAAGGGTTAACAATTTTTAATACAAATAATTAGTTTTTTTTTTAAAAAAATTGAATTGATAACTGAATATTATATTGCAATTGTTTAAAACCATGCTAATAATTATCTATGATTTTGTAATTAATAATAGAACGCTAATAATACATTTTATATGAAAAAAACAAAATGCTTTTAACCTGTTATTAAACTATAGAATTAATTATTTTAAAAAAAATGTAGAAACAAATAGGCAAATGAAACTGAAAAATGTAATTATTCTTTATGTATATTTTCTTAATATATTATATAGATAATATGGGTTATCTTATCTTGTATGTGCTTTACCACACTATTTTATATCTTCATTATCATAGTAATAAAAAAAAAATACACTCTTTCTATACATTATAATTTAATATGTGAACTTGTGTATAGTTTATTATTAAATAATCAGTTTTTTGATCGTATATTTTGTCAGTACTCAGGTTCACATGTTATTTTCAAAAATGTGTGTTCTAAATGTTAGAAAAACAATTTTATGATATTGTACAAAATGAGGAATCTGTTACTATTTTTTTTAAAAATCTTTTAGTAAATGTAGTTTTCTACATTTACATGAAATGAAATATTATTTTAAAAAAGATTTTTGCAAAAGAAAGGAAATTGTTGAGGTTTAAAAGTAAAGTGTATCAAACAATTTTAAGTATAAGGTAAGAAACAGCCTATTTTTTTTTAGTTCTAATTATTAATGATTATGAATAACAAAATGATGTCGCTATTGATAATGTATAATATTGCTTATGTATAATCATTTTAATATAACAAAACACTAACATCAACCACTTTTTATGAGAAGATAAAATAAATATTGCTGTGGTGGTAAAACTTGATAAAATGCATACAACATAATGTTATGTACTAAATTTTAGAAATGAAATTTAATATACTTCTACATTAACTTCTTGTTTACATTTAATAAATGATTTAAAAGGTGATAATTTTTAATTTATAGTCCATTGCATCATTGAAACGGAAAACTCCGGAAAAAACATTATTGAACAGTAATAGCAGAACAAATTCTAGTAAACGAGTATTAGGAAATTCGACAAAGGGGAGTAGTGTTATTAGTTCTAAACAAACTTCATTGGTAAACAATTCAAAGCTAGTAATTAAAAAAACACCTGAAAATGATAAATCCACGAAAAGTGTAAAAATTGTGAACCGTAAACAACTTACATTGGCTAAGAATTCAAAGCTAGTAATTAAAACGCCTGAAAATGATGTATCTACAGAAAGTATAAAAGTTGTTAATCGTGAACCACCTACATTGACTAAGAATTCAAAGCAAGCAATTAAAACACCTGAAAATGATAAATTTACAAATAATGTAAAAGTTGTAAACTGTAAACAACCATCATTGGTAAACAAGTCAAAGGTAGTAAGTAAAACACCTGAAAATGATAAATCTACAAAAAATGTAAAAGTTGTAAACCGTAAACAACCATCATTGGTAAACAAGTCAAAGGTGGTAAGTAAAACACTTACTTTGGCTAAGAATTCAAAGCAAGTAATTAAAACACCTGAAAATAAAAAATCTACAAAAAGTGAAAAAGTTGTAAAAGATAAGAAAAACATCACACTGTCTCTAAAAAAAAGTACTAAAAATAAAATTACAAAGGTGACCAAACAAAAAGAAAAAAATTCTTCTGAGCGTAAAGTATCTGCCAAAAAAGAAAAAAAAAACAAACTTGAAATGAAAAAGAAACAAGCTAATACTTCAAGAGGAGAAATTGGTCTCTTTGACAATATAGATTATTCTGCATATGGTGACCTAAGTGATTTCAACATTATGGCATCGCCGACAAAGTTAACATCAACTTCATGTACTGAAACTTCCAGAAGTGAAACCCCTCCATTATTTGGTCATCAATGGAGTTCATCGGGCAAATCAATAGCCATGAGTGAAGGACCATCATTACTATGTAAATCTATTGAGGCTAAAGCATTAAAGAGAGTCAAAGCACCAAAATTTACTTTAGAAGAAGAACTAAAAAATAATAGAAGAACAAATAATAAACAGTCCATTGACTACAAAAAAGTCACAAATCAAATCAACCAAATGTTGCAATTTGGGGAACAGTATGATAGGGATGATGATTCCTTTTTTGATTCGGTAATTTAATCAATTGACAACCAAATGTATTTAATTTTTTTTCACTATTTTCTATATAAACCTTATTCATTTATATATATATATTTTTTTTTGTCATTGACATTCCTACTCAATTGCCACAGTGGTAAATAAGAATGTTTATATAATATATATATATATTTTTTTTTTTGCACTATTTTACCTTGTCTCCAAATCAAGCATTATAACAAATAATTGTGCTGATAAGCTAACCTATTAGACTTATGTATAAATTGTAACGGTTTATATTTTTCAACTTAAAAAAATCAAGTTTTCTAATAATAAATATAATAAATTTATATTAATAAAAATTTAGACTTATATATTGGCAAATTTTAGTAAAAATAATTCTATTTTATAATATCTATTATATAATTATTTAATGTTTATTAGTATAATGGTTAGTTATATAAAAATAATTAAATTCTTTCACTTACACTTACTTAAACATAATATACTCATTTTGTATGCTTTTTTAAACTAGTTAATTTTGAATATAACAAAATATTCAGTTATAGTAATGTAATTGTTTATTAATAGAATAATTATACATTCAATGTATAGTGGTAGCAACTGCTACTTCGCCATTTTTATCAGGGTTGCAAATTAATAACTGCACAATCCTATGATTATTTTTTTGCTTTTTTAATCATGATCACACTAATGTAATAATTATATTATTGGCTATTTGAACTTGAATATATATATAAAAAAATCAGTTAACTGATTAATTATATTTCTAAAATATTTATTTGATATATTTCTACCTAATTCTAACAAACAATTGACTGACTAGGACCTACTGATGTTTCGCTAACTAATAAAGTGTGACACTTATTGGATCAAATCCGAGTTAAAAATATTCAAGACACTTATTTCCCTAGGAATTTATGTAAAATGACGCTTATGCTTCATCAATGGCTAGTTTAGCTGTTTTTATTGTTACTAAAACCACAAAATATTAATAAATTCTAATACTTGTTCTGTTAGGAAAAAAAAATCATTTTACCTTAAATTAGAAGAAAAAAAGATTGTTACACATACAATAAAATTGTAGATTTTAGTTTGTTCAGTTTTCAAATAACCATAAGTCATTTTTATTTTAACTATGACTATGTTATAGCTAATAAATAAAAACTACAACCAAGTTTCTATGCAGAGTGATTCATTTAAGTTTGTACATTCATTATTTCGGAAAGTATTAACTTTTTCCGTAATTTGTTTTTTTAGAACATTTAATAAACAAACTGCTCTACAATTTTATATTTATGTTATTTTTTGTCAGCCTTATTTTTGGGGGTAAAACCACTACCTACTTTTGATTTTCAAATGTCAAGCGATTCTATACATAGATGGAGTATTAGTTGAAATAAATTTGAATGTTGAAATTTTTAATATCTGTCAAGACGTTTACGATATATTCCACTTTTAAGTTTACATTGGAGGAGAGTAGTGGAGTATCATTTGTGCGGCGTGTTAATTGTGAACCACTACTTTCCTCAAAACTTAATTTAAAAGCGGAATATCTCGTCAATGGCTTGACAGAAATCAAAAATTTCAACACAAATTTATTTTAACTAATACTCTATACTTGCCATTTGAAAATCAAAAGTAGGTGGTGGTTTTACCCCCAAAAATAAGGGTGACAAAAAATTACATAAATATAAAACTGTAAAGCAGATTGTTTATTAAATGTTATAGAAAACAAATTCTGGAAAAAGTTAATACTTATAGGGATAATGAGTGTACCCACTTAAATGAATCACTCGGTGTTATACACTAATTTCAATTTCACATTGTAGACTAAGTAAAAAACTGTTTGTGGAGCTAATATTTTCTAATACCTGCAACTCTGGATGATGTTTGGTATAAATCTAAATATCCCAACTCTTGTTCCTGTACTAATAAATTAAAAATTAATTCCACTGTAAAATATTTAGGTTTAGAGATGCATCATCTTTAAATAGACAGTGTACATTAATTCTTTATTTCAAAACCAAAGAAATTCTTGCATAGATATCTTTAATCAACTTGGATATATTTTGAAGAAAAGCCATGTCAAGGTGGTTTAAAGGTGGAAGTATGAAAAACAAGTGCACAATGGAGCAAAGGTTAAGGCACGAAATAAGATATTATCTTAATTTGTGGGTTAAAGTGAAACATCATAGAGCTGCAGATAATCAGTTTGTATAATATGCTCAGATGAATTTCGAATGAAAGGTAGGTATGCCAAGTATGTGATAACTAAAGACTAGATTTAATTGCATTCAAAACATAAAAATTACATATTAAAATTATATAATTTCATCAAAAAATATGTAAAAATTGAATAATAAATTGCACTACAAAAATGGAAAAGTTATATAAAAAAAAATAGATAAATGTTACTTTTTTAAATTAAAATTGATAATTAGATAAATTTCTTAATTATTTTCATTCAAATTAAATTTTCTACTACTCAAAATATGTTTGTACAAAGAAAAATTACGTTATATGTCTACATTAGTTATTGGTGCATATTTAAAATATTTAATAAAGTAGGCGTTATATCTAAATTAATATTTGCTTTACTTGACATGACTTCATGGTATGACTAAAGTTTTATACCCTTCATCATTTTTTTCAATTACATACATACATTTTTCTTTAATTTTTTTTTCCATTTGGACCAGGAATATTTGTTAAAATATTTTCAATTTTTCTAAAAATGCCCACGCTTTTCAGTAGGTCACTATTAGATTCTTCCAAATTTTTAAGATTCATGGATAACTCGGATAAGTGTAATTTTATGAATGCTAAATCACATTTAACTGCATTATTTTGTACAAGCCGTTTTAGCTTCAACACTTGTAGGATCATCTGTTAGATATTCAATCACGTTTTTAAACTTTTAAAAATTATTTGTAAAAAAAAGTGCAGCATTTAACCATGTTCCCCATCTTGTAATAATAGGTTTAAGTATACCCAGCATTTCTTTTCTGTATTTATTTATTCTCGATGGTGCTTTTAGGAAAGGTTTTTTTCCTGAAATAAACAAAATAAGTTACATATGTATTTAAATTTTAAATAGGTACTTATTATATTACCGTTGTTAATCAATTTATTAATGTCTGGATACAATTCTTGAATTTTCTCTAAAACTCTATTAACTGCGTGCATCATACGTATAATATGAACGAGACAAATATTTTTAATGTTTTTGCTATTTTGATCATATAAGTATCAGCATCACTAATAAAAAATAATAATTTTTGTTCAATACCAGGAAATATTTTTAACAAGGAATTAATAAACTAACAAATAGTTTCATAATTGGTGGATTCTAGTTCTTCACATGAAACTAAATATGATTTCCTAGGCACCCCATCTAATTTACCAAGTAATACATTTGCAATAGCCAAACCTAAACAAAAATATTATATTTCATTATATGAGAAATTAAAAAAATTATTTATACAAATCTCTTGGATTGGTTGTCTCGTCAACAATTATATAAACGTAAATATTACTAATTATTTAGTCCATAACGCTTTTATAAATATTCGGTATGCAATTTTTCCTTAAAATACTTTCGTCCGGAATTGATTTGCCAGTATGTTTTTCAAAAATAATTTTAACATATGATTGCCCAGCTTATTCAAAGGAATATTTGCAGCAACAAACGCATTACATAAATCTTCAAAAAATACATTTTTACCATTCGAATTTTGAGAAGTAATCAAAAGCTGTTTTTTTCTTTATTTCTTTGTAATGCATTTATGTGTCGAACTAAAAAAAAATATACGTGTATTTTTGAAACAATACGTAGTAAATTACGTGTAGTATGAGCATAAAATACAAAACTTACTCGTTTCGGAATGAATGAACCGAGAAGAATTTTCTTTTTAACAGATTTGTTACACACGAGACAATATATAACATTTCGGTATGATGAAAATACTTCTTTATTTTCATTGTAAAGAGCGTGTAACGTCCAAAAACGACAGTTTCCCGTTATCAGAGGACAAGCATACCTACCATCGATTTTATGTCATCATGAACAATAATTCCCCCCCCCCGCGCAAAAGTTTATACGATCGCAAACTGTTGCAATTCGCAAATTGTATTATATTTCTGACTACGGGTTAACGGCCAATCATATCACGTTTCCCCTTATCGCCAAAAACGTCGGCCCGCGGCGACGTGCCACAAACGTCTCCGCGCTCCGTTACCCAGTCGTTTTCCGTTTGTTCTTTTCCTTGTTCGTGTCTAGACCGCGTCTCGAGATTTCTGTCACCAGACGGTCTCTAGATACAGTTCTCTTAATAATATACTCTCGTGTATTACACGGATTCACCAGTTTTTGCCTCCAAGAAAAGGTCGTGTTACCTTGGCACGATTCATGATGGTGCCTCGAACAACTCATTGAAGTGAGTCCCGATCTGGTCCGCCGGGCGGACATCTTCGGGAGAACGATGGTAATATGTATATGATTTAGTAATTGGCCGATACCCCGTTAGTTAGTTAATTAGTTTTTAAGGTAATTTAATTAAGGTTACTGCGTATGAATATGTTTTCTTTTTATGCCAAATCCTTCTGATATACTTATGGGATTCAACCAGCTAGATTTGTGTGTCCGTTTCGCTATGCTGATCCCCGCGGTCCACATCCCAAGTGCGATGGGCCAACCCCCATATTCGCTTTTGTATTATGATAATAGATAAAAAAAAAAACTCACAAAAACTATTTCTGTGGATTATTATTTATCGATCTGTTATACAATTATTCAAATCTGATCAGAGGAAACGTAATGATTCTGTGTACATGTCACAACTGCCGCATTTTCACTTAAATAAATTTTCACTGTAATATTATCTACGGAAAAAAAAAAAAAAGGAACTTGTTAGAATAAATTATGACAGTTCAAAACAGTTTGCTGGTAATGCGAGTGTTCCGTTTTTCCGTATTAAAAAAATTAAACCTTTTTCCGAAAAAAAAAAAAAAACCAAAACGTAACGGTAAAATAATATAATTTTTTTTTCACTTACGGCTGATATGTTTGTGAAATTTATTTTTTACAGATACGATAATAATTATTGTAAAGGTGAGCATTGTTCCGATCATTAGTAAATTTACTACATGCGCTATCGTAATAATTTACGGTGCCAGGAACAACAAATTATTATTTATTATTATTGTTGTTACCAAATACCAATTGTACCCTACAGATGTTTTTATAGTGTTTAAAATTATGGCTGCGTTTCTCGGGTACCGCGGTTCGAAAAGACCACAGTGTTGTTTTATGTTCGTGGTCCTGGACGTTAGTCATCGGTATGTTATTATGATTTGTGTATGATTATCGCGGTTAGAACTAGTTCACTGAACCGCCGCTCGTGCCGGAGCGCTGCTATAGTTCACCGCCGTTAAAAATCTACCGGGCGCGATTGAAATCCAACGGGCGTAAATAAAAAATTAATTTGTCTTTTTTTTAAATTTTTTTTCTAGTGAATAACGCATAGAATGTTTTCTGAACGTTTCGAATGATTGTGAAAATTATATTCGGGGGGATGTGTGCATATACATATAGGTATCTTCCCCGATTATAAACAGCGGTTTCATAATAGGTGCATTTTGGCGTGTTAGTAATATTTATTTATATATATAATTTTTTTTTAATTATTTACAGAGAAATTATACTTATTTTTACGTGATAACTAAAGTTATTTTTAACGTTTTTGATTACATATCAAATAATTATTTTCTTATAATACACACTCAAATGGTAAAACATCTAATAGCTTAAAGTTTTCTTTAGTTGAACCTATTAAGATATTTCTACTAAGGCATATCCTAAATTACTAACAATTTTTTTTTTATAAAAGTTAACACTGTGTCTGGATTAGCGTTTTTCAACCTTTTTAATGTCGCGGCCCCAAAATAGGTAAAACATAAAGTCAGTTATCTTACGACCCTCCTTTCCCTTATAATAAAAACTATTATATTACAATTATATTAAATTTATTATTGTATTTAATGTATTATACTCGTATTATACAATATATAATAAAATATATTAATTAAAGTATAAATTAACTTCTTCATTTTTATAATTATGGTTATGCATTAATTTTTTATTTTTAAAGTGAATAAAAGGTTTAATTATTTCTGTCCGATGCGACCCCTCTTCTAGGAGTCGTGACCCCCCAGGTTGAAAAATGCTGGTCTAGATGCATTTTGATTGCCTCTCCCCTGCCCCTTAAACCGATAAACCATATTGGAATATTGTGTGAAATAGTGATACTTTAGTAAATTATGCGCTCAGTTAGAATTGGTATAAACGACCGTAATTTATAAATGCTAAACGGTAATAAACGAACACGCATATTATTATTTACATGTAAATTGCTTTTTATATTTTTGTCAAATGTTAAACCCAAGTATCTTATACAAGACACTCTATTTGTTGACCGATTGCAGTATTAAAATAATCCAAATCATCATAAATATGAAATTCTAAGTTATCAACATTTTTATCATTCTTATTAATCGAGAAATTTATAAAATTTGTTTTATTGTAATTGATTGATAGTTTTCTGTGATTTAAGTAGTTTATTATTTTTTTAAAATCTTGTATACTTTTTAAGCGAACTTCATCACGTAACACTTGAAAACAACAGACACGTGTCAATTTGCATATGTTACTGTTTGACCATCAATTTTCATATCACATATAAAATTAATGTATAAAATGAACAGTAATGGGCCCATAATACTAAATACTCCAAAATTAATTGTCATCTCCTCACCTGTGATGACATTGATTTTAACTACTTGTTTTCTGTATTTCAGATAGTTCCAAAATCAATTTAAATCAATATTTTTAAAACCAAAATTCGGTTATTCATATAATATCGTATAACGCATTGCAAATCGTAATATTATATTAGGTGGCGTATCTAGAATTGTTTTCTAGGGGGTGATATGATCAAAATTATTTTGCACATTAGGAGCCAGGGGGACAAAATATATCCCCTTATCATACCTTTACAGTTTCCACAAAGTGCACTCATTTATATGCCATGATTTTACTTAAAACTATACCATCATAATATTATATATTTATTTTCCTAATAAGTTTGATCACAAAATAATATCCAACAAACCACGAACATTAAAATAATAAACAATAATAATAATAATTCATCATAATTATCTAATGTTCACGAAACTATTAATAACTATATAGACTTATAATAACTATATTGATATGTCTTCTATTAATTACTATTAATAACGGACTGATTATGAATATTGTTACGTCGTAATCTATGACTAAGATTAATGGTTGTGGTTGTTCGCCACTGTCGAATACTCAAATACCTATAATAATAGTATTAACTGAAAAATTAAATTAATAAAAAAAAAAAGGCTCTGGGGGGTGATATATCGTCCAAATCATCCCCCGTAAATACGCCACTGGTCCCAGATGAATATTAAATACGTTTTATTAAAGTCTGAAAACAAAACCGATGTAGTAATATTATTTATGTAAAGTAATATAGATTCATAACAAATTGTAATGTTTATTTGAATACAAGAATTTTAAAAAAATAATCGCTCGTAAAATTGTTAATTATTTTGTATTTATTATTTCCCGATAAATTACTTGCTATACTCAGGGTCCCAGAGACAAAATAATCTATCCAAATGTTAAATATCAAACTTACCACTAACACAAAGTGCCGTCCTTTAAAATATGTACGACAACAAAAAGTTTAAGGTTGAGGTATAATAGGTATTTACTTATTGCACATATTATAATATGATACAAAGTAGTTATTATATTATGAACATTTAATTTTTTAAAGTAAATGAAACAGTAAATGATTTTTATGTTAATGTACAAATTAGGTAAAATATATAAACTGGTTACTTTGATCGGGCCTGGACCTTAGGGCTATAGCGCCGGCTACTCTTTCCTCTCGACGGGTCTGACTTAACCGAAAAAATATTAACGATTTACAAGGTTTTTGACGCACATTGCGGTTAATACGCCGCGTTGCTCATGTATAGGAAAAATGTTGTCATGTAATATGTTATGTGTTCAATATTACAATTTTCAATAATCTGGATAATGTAAAAATCCGTTTTTTTAATTCAAACAATATACAGATACAGTCACTCTAGATTTGAATCCCGGCTTAGTCACAGTCCGCCCCTATCTAACCTAAACTACCCCAATTAACGAATATATCAGTTGGAAGTAGTGCGCTACCATTTTTGTATAGTAACTTCATTTTTAATAAAAACAACGTAAATTTCGATATTTTAATTTTCATCAAAATAAAATTGTGGATACTTATCAGTCAGGACATACAAATTTGATTCATAACCGAGAAGAATTCTCTACTTAAAGGGGTCCCGTTAGAGAATTTTAACTATATTATGAATATGTAAATTTAATAAATGTAAGAATTAATGTAGGTACAGGTACCCATTACATTTTATAAGATCGTCATATAACAAAAAAATAGTTCCCTCTAAGTCGAAAAAGTTGCGCACTAATTTTAGAAAAGTAAAAGTTATTTGTAGGGAAATCGATTTGAAAAAAAATGTAACTCATGTAGTAATAGCGCACTATTACATTGAAAGTGTAGTGGCTTCAACTACGGGTATCTATCTATCTATCTATATTATTTTAGGCAGGTATATTATTTTTAATTTTAAAACTTGGTTATGAATAATAATAATAATATGATTCAAAAATATGAATAGCTCATAAATATTAATCATTATCAATGTTTGGAAAAAAAAAGAATCTAACTATAGAGCGTTTATTTATACAGTAGGTCACGTATTCTCCGGTACACATTTTATTGCAAAATATAATTTTATTAACAAACTTTGGAATAATAATTGTAAAACTTGGGTATACAGATTTCGTGAAGTACCTATACTCAATCTTGATCAAACAAAAAATATACTGATATTATTAGTCCGTAAAATTCCTTTAATATAGAAAAAAATGTAAATGCGCAAAAAAATTTAATTAATATACCAATACAAAATATGGAAATGTGAACATATAAATCGTTAGGTATTCGAAAGTAGTTTAAACATTTAAAACGTTAAGGTGTTTTATAAACTGATTTATTGTGCGATATTTTTTAGTATATATTATTAGAAAAAAAGAAACCTATTCAAATGGTACAATATATTTCAATGTTATATGTTTCGATTGGGTTTTTAATTCATTTTAAGCACAAAAATATATAAATCGAGTATAAAATTACTCACTATTAGAAATAATAAAATACGATAAATGCATTGTGCGCATATAACTCAGAAAATATACATAATTCCTATGAAACTGCGTGGCGTTGTAAAATGTTCGCTGATTTTTATTACTTTTTCAAATGTCGAATGTCAGTAATATTCGCGATACTAACAACCTGCCAAAACCAAAACTCGAGTATAAAAACGAAATGAATATTATAAAACAGCAGTTGACAGTGCATTTTAATTAAAATGCATGTTTACGCGTCGTATCGATTTTGTTTAAATGTATACATTATTGTAAAACAAACAGCACTTAGTTTACTGTTCGCTTAAATTGTCTTTATTTTTCATTATTAAATATAATAATATACACTTGAAGAAATATTTTTATTGCAAGATTAATTAATAATTACCATTTACACAAATGTCCGAGATCTCCAACAATTTTTTTAGAAATTGTAATTTACCTCTACTTATTTATTATCCGGTTAAATCATTGTAGGGACGTTGGTTTGTTTTAAGTCTTTTTAGTCGATTATAGTTTTTCTTTTATTTTTCCAATTCCAGCACTGTTTTTACACTTGTAACTAAATGTAAAAATTTTCATCAAAATTTCGATACTGAAATTAAATGAACGATAAATATTTAAGATACTCATTATTACGGTGGATGACACTTGTTCGAAAAATAATAAGAACTTTTGACTTTAGACAAAGAATTATTACAATTAATTATAGTTGTATTCAGTATTTAAATATTAAATGTATAGGGTACCTATAGAAATTGCGCTTTCGATCCGTTATTATTTATCTTTATCATTTTCAAACAACTGCCCTCTACCCTCATTACTGTATTATGTAGTTTATTATTGTATACTACTTCTACATATTACAAAAATGTAGGGTGAAAATCCCCATTATTTGTGATTTAGTGGATCATTTTTCATAATTATTATTTTTCACTCATCACATAAATCATTTAAATTATATAAGTATTTTAGTTACCTACCTATTTTATTAAATGGGTTTTATACACAAAATAAACTAAAATAAATGAAACAAATTTCGAGAGTTTATGTCAATGATATATATTTTTTAAATTATTATAGAGAAAACAAGAGTCGGATTGAATAATGGAGATAATAATTAATATCAAATTATAAAATATAGATATTTAAATATTATAATGTACAGGGCTGGTAAAAAGAATGGAGATAAATCCTCCCTATGCAATTTTTCTCTTTAATATTTATAACAATAATATAATATATTATATTATTCAACTACCTATTTATTTATAAAAAAAAATAGTAATCATTTTTAAAAAATCAACCTCATCCTCCCATGAAAAAAATAATTTAATC